TCGCCATTTTAGGCCAACAAATTTGACAATCTGATTAAACATGTGGAAACCATCCACAAAAATTAATATAGCAAAATGGTAATTCAATTATAGATTGCGTTATATGTGAAATATCCAGAAAAGTTAATTTAGTACGGATTAAAAGGGTCGGGTTCTGTACGGTTGGTGGTAGTTTAAATGCATCAAAGGTAAGCCAAAGTGGGGTAGTGTTGCTCCAAGGCTCTCATTTGAATTGCACTTCAGTTTAAAAAGCTCGTAAAGGACCTCTACGAATTTAAATGTAAAGAAGCCACTACTTATTGCTACCAACACAGATTCTATTGAGGACCTTAAAATTCGATCTGTGCAATTAGTGTTTGAGGTATGTTATCGATAACAGTTGGAATTAAATTATCCAATTTAGGAGTTGGTAGTCCGTAAAATGTTTCCATACTACATATATCTGTTTGACAGCGTTTTCGATGCGAAGGCAATTGGCCTTTCCCGACCATCGATGAGATGAGATAGAACTGCAGCCACCCCTCTGGGACTCACACGTATAAACTATGGGCTTTTTCACATAGTGAACTAACAAACTTGAGTCCAAGACCCATGATTTACTCTCCTGAAAGGTCTTAGAACACACCTCCGACCACACCCATGGATGGTTCTTATGTAATAAGTCATAAAAATAAACAGCTTATTCTAGCAGACAAGTTAGGTATAAATGCATGATAATAATTTATCAGACCAATACTCCTCGTAACTCTTCCTTAGTACTAGGCTCAGGCGCTTTACGTAGTGTAGTTTACAAACTTTCTTGTGGGCGGAGACCATCTCGGGTAATCACATGTCCTGAATGCTTTATCGAAGATTGCAAATCTTACACTTTTGTTGGTTACTCGACCGCCAAACTCATCAAGGTGATGCAGCACTTGCGCCAGACGGGCGAGCCCCTCTTCCTTAGAGCGAGCCGCTACTACCTGTTTGTTCATAGAACTTGTTAAATCTAAAATCACGTTGTTTCAAAACAGGCGTGAGCAGTATTACAATCTGATTTACGTATTCAATCTCTTATCCATTATGTATAAGCCTAAATTTTATAAGATCTACAGTTTAAGTTGCATGTAGAATTGTGTACCAATTTTAATATTATTTATTCTTAACCAACAGTTATACAGGTTTGAAGTATCAAATAAAATACTAACCTACCGTTTGACTCTATATCTACGTTCTTAACACGTTCAACAAATTCGTAACTGTTATTTACTTTATACAGGGTGGTAATAAAGTCCGAAGACAGTTAAATATTTTCGAAACGACAACAGATAAATCAATAAGATTTGGTACATCAACACAACACCTAAAAATCTACTTTTATCTATCTATGGGGACGTCAGGAGGAAATCTTAAATAGAAGCAGAGGTTGACACGTACATCAAATTAAAGGTCTTAACTAGCAGAATATACTGCCGCAAATTTGAGCTCAAACGGACAACCGAGCCAAGAATGACAGTTGTTCAAAAATTCATTTAATTTGTATTGCTATTATACGCTTACTTCTCAGGGGGCACAACCCCCTAGGAATCGGAAGAAAATTGTTAACGTAAGCATAGGTCGATATGCACATCAAAATAAAGGTCTTCACTAGTAAATTACAATGCAGTAAATTCAAGCTCAAAAGAACGCATGAGTAAAAATGGCAGTCGTTCAAAAGCTACAAAATGGCAGATTCAAGAGATTATTTAACGGCTGCCATTTTGCGCAGGATCAACCTTTTGAAGTGCGGTTTGCGGCATTGTATTCTACAAAAATACCTTTAATTTGATGTGCATATTTACCTATGCTTCCATTTAAGATTTTCGACCGACTCCTTGTGGGCCGTCCCCCTGAAGAGTTATTAGATCACTGAATATGTGTTAAAATAAAGTTTATGCTCTCTAACTTTGTACCAAGTATTGTAGCTCTATCTACATTATTTTTCAAAATAATTAATTGTCTTCGGACTTTATTACCACCCTGTATATATATATATTCTAATTATTGAATGTTGCTGAGCTTACTTGCTTCATTCCGTAGTTTAATATTTCGGTCTCTTCTTCGCTGAATTAAATGTTCGTAAGGTTGTAACTCTCTTCTGGAAATTGTGACCTGTACTCGGCACAATTGCAAACTATATTTAAACAATGAAATTGAAACAGGTTTTATTTCATTATTCTTCAATAAAAATAACTAAAATGTATAATCTTACCCGACACCTTATAGTCAATAACCGGTCTTACTAGTTGTAGAAACGATACTAAACAGAAACAAACAAAAGACAGACGTAACAAATCAACAACAGAGTGATATGGCAACCTGTAAAGCTAGAGATAACCATCGATGTAGTTATACTACATACATCAATGGTGATAACCAATGAACAATCAATTGATATGAGTCATAAATCGTCGATGAGATTGTAGTAGTTTGCAGTGAATCGCCAATCGCCCGGTTGTAAGTAGGCGGTAGCTGGTAATCTAGTGAATCATTTCAAATTAGTAGTATCCAATGTCTAATTAGTTAGCTTTTTAGAAAAGCAACAATAGTTTAAAAGAGTTTATCATGCAAATTTAATATTTTTTAGTTTTCAGAATGTTTGCTAATTATTTATAGTTATTGTAAATACAATTACAGCATCATTTGATATCAGTAGCAATCTACAGTAAGTTCCGTATGATGTAGGAATAATCTGTGCCTTTTAAACACTCAAAATGAGGGTAGATTATGCAATTCAGTGTTGTCATTATAATAACATTTTTGATTGTAGTAGCCAGACATAAATAATCATAAGTTTGCCATTTACCCGCCCGTCACAAGATAATAAACAGAACTTTTTCCTAAAAACATGTCGAGTGATTTTAATAGTAACAATGCAATGTTTTGAAATAATCCTCTTACTAAGAAGTTAATAATACAACAAGCGTATGAATAGTATAATTAAACCCCTGGTCAAGCAAATACGTTGATATGTATTACATAAAAATTCCAATAATTCAAATGATTATTATTTATATTACTACAGTTAAAATAATAATTGATGCTGTACTGCGGAGTGATGGTAGGTATAATAGGCAATCTTACTTTTCCGATCGCGTCCATTATTTTCAGTTCTCGTCGTTGGTTGCCACATTACTTCGTATTACTTGGAAAATCAGATGTCGACTTCAATTTTACTCCTGTATCACTGACAGTTTTCTCTCATTCCTGTGTATGTTTGCATCAGTTTTTTAAGTTATTTAAATTGTTTATGTTTGTAAAAGTAATTTTAGCGAATTTCCCATATTGGGAATAAGATATTACCGTAGTACTCATGGTAAGACCTGGACCCGGGACCGATTTACTTTTTGGTTTTGCCAAAAACACCATCCGTTCAAATTCACACACACATACATATGCATATTTATTTATATATACTAGAGGTCGTCCAGTGGTCGAAAACTCGACATTGGTCCATTGGATTTGTTTACACCTTGTTTACAAGAAAGTGTCGGAATTTGTTAAAAACTGCACCACGTTATAATCTTTCCAACCATATGCTACACTATTGAGGTTTAGATATTTTTTGTTTGTTTTAGTGGTTTGAATGCCAGAAAACAGGGAACTTTTTTACTGTTTTTACTGTTCAAGCTGAAACAACAATACAACTTTTGTTTAATACATGCCGACTTTCTATGTTTTAAATGTTAAAGACACCATGTTTTGTAGTCTTCAAACCACTAAAGCGTACATAAGCAGACATAAATCTCAATGGTGTAGCATATGGTTGGAAATATTTTAAAATGGTGCAGTTTTTACCATATTCGGACTCTTTCTTGTATACAGGGTGTGAACAAATGCAATAGACCAATGTTTTCTTAAATTTTTATCAAACATCGTAATTTTTATCTTTGAATCTATTCACAATGGAGTTTTTAAAACTGATGCCCCGTCATTTTCTATTTTCTTATTCAAAATTTAATGTAGAACACGAAAATTGCATTACCTACTCAAATCCATTTACAGGTAATTGAGAAATAGCTGTAAGTTTAAAAAACATAGTTATATTTGAAAAACATAAAATAATTCTTTGGGAAGCTAATTTTTAGACTTGGAACCTTCTATATGCATCCTCACACAGCATTTACTTTGTACTTACACCAAAACATTTTTGTCAATCACCCTATAGATATATATGTGTCCGTTAGCACGATAAATCGAGCACTAATGATCCGATTTCGATGAAATTTGGTATAAACGTGTAAACTTACATTTATTCGGATGAGTTCGTGAACCAGAATGATCGGAGTATGGAAACGGGGGCTAATGGGGGGTTTTATGGGGTAAAATTTGGTTTTCCAATTGTTGACCCTAAAAACAAAAAAAATTGCAATTACGTTTGAAACCATTTTGTAAAGCTTAAAAAAAAAATTAGTATATTGAATTGTTACTATGCGCCTACTGGCTACATAGAAAATTGCAAAAATTGTAATTTTAAAATTCCCATGTTATTCTTAAGGATAATAAGTAAACTGATGTAGTTTGCCTGTTTATACTAAACTATTATCACAAAATAACACTTTTTTACTCTCCCCGTTGCAGCAAACCTAAGTACTCGTAAAAACTAATGCTAACAGGAAATTAATAAATAGGAAATAAATGTGATATTTTTAAGGAGATATTTTAATGTAAATCCATTCAGGCAAATGGAAATTCACTTATACTGCAGGTTTGCTGAGGCAGGGGTGTTCTTTTACGATAGGGAAATGCTTAATGCACCCAGGGTCTAAAGATGTTACTTTTACCCTCGTGTGTGGGACTCTCGCCCACTAAAAACCTATCGGTCCAGGCAATGGAAACCCTCTCGGAAACGCTATTTGCAATACTTCAAGAGGCCTTCATACGCCAGAGGTGGCATTTAAGCCACAATGTTCCATCGGGTTCAAATGCACTGATGCATCACAGCTGTTCGGTTCTCTTCACTTTTAGCATTCCCCTGGAGAATGCAGAAACAGGGTTCCACGATTCAGGGCTTGACAACATCAGTTGGACGAGTGAGTCCGGCGAAACCGGGCCAACAACCGTTTCGTGTTCCTTCTGAGTATTTCCCACCTCACACAGTGGCAAAAGGTATGCTGTACATAATCGTAATCTTACATTTACTTACATATTATGTCCACCTTTTAGTAACCGTACATATCTCATGAAAATGACTCGCTTTTTTCAATACTTGAATGACCAAGATCAATCAATTAAACAGCAGTCTCAAGACGTAAATTCAAATGTTTTATGGCGAGTTTTCAAAACCCAGTAAATTTTAATTTAATATGCATGGCTATAAATCAGTTGTACAGACACTTGTGTCGGAATAAAGTAGCAGTTTATTACTACAGTAGTAATCAAGTACTGTACCCTGTACCACATAGAATTTGAAGTTACTTTGACTTCAAATCAAGTAGGTAATTCTGAAAGTTTAACGTAAACTTAATGACATTTAACCATATTAAAGAAATCAAAACATGGTTTTATAAACTATAAGAGAACATTATAATTGGATGGACGACATAGAAAGTAACTATAATTTTTACGTGTTTAACAATTGGAATTATACAGCATTTCGTAACTCCCTACCAGCCTTTTAGGGAATTATTTCTGGCTTCATAAAACATTTAAACATCACATGAAAATTTTCTAATAGTCAATTCATTGGGCTGCCATTTGGTATTTTCAACAATTGCTTTTCTTCTCAATAATTATGATACTGAGAACTTTGAAACTTTGCATGAGTAATTATTGACTGACAACACCATTTAATGTGATATTTCAATTTGTTATGAACCCAGAAACAGTACATTCAAAGGTTGGCAGGGAGTTACAAAACACATAATTTAAAGTCGACTACAATTATGTTAAATGAGTCGTTATTAGTCATTGATGTGGTTTTAAATTATAAATAATACCCGAGTCCAACTAAAATTCATACAATATAACTTAATTAATCATAGTGTTGTGAGGTAAAGTTTAAAGTTTGTTACGGAATGAACAATACAACTGCATACAAACTAATAAATCAACATTCAACAAAGCAATGGAAACTTTCCATGGAGCAATCAGATTTGCTTGTACAGATGATGGCACTGCTTGCTGATAAACCAAACTTTACAGTTGTCTAAAATATTTTAAATGTATGATAAACATTGTAAAACGTAAAAAGATTTTGAATCGATGTTTTGTAAATATTCCTATAAAAGGTCATGAGCTTCACTATTCACAAATTGTTTATATTCTTTGATTGATTATTTTTATTTAGTGAATTTTCCTTATAGGGAATAAGCTATACTACATTATATACTACAACTATACTAGGTCCTCTGGCAGGACCTAGACCCAGGAGCGATTTACTTTTTCGTTTTGACGTCCCCAGAGTCCAAAATACACAATCCGTTCGAATTCATATTCCGGGTGTTGAAAAAGTCTGACAATGCCTTAATATTTTCTTATTTATTAACGCAAAGCAATGTAACTCTAGAATTACGTCCTCAATATAGTTTCTGACGTTTTAGTAATTTATACCACATTTTTTTCACTTTGGGGTGACATCCTGTGGAGGAAGTCTCAAATAATTTATGCTTACAGCATAGGTCGAAGTATACCTCATTTTACCGACTGATAAAGAACGATTCGTTTGGAAATATCAGCCTCTAACAGTTTGTTAACTTTTACGTAGCGGAGATCAAGAGACACAATTGAACGCTCAACCAATGGTTATGATAGTGTTTTAACAGCTGGAGTGCATAGGGAGGAAAATGTCTCTAATGGTCAATTTAGCTGTTGAAAAACGCGTGAATTAATAAAAAAAAAAAATAATAATACTAAGGCGTTGCCAGACTTTTTGAAAAACCCAGTATAACTTGTGTCCGGTAACTCGATAACTCGAGTACAAATCATCCGATGTTGATGCAATTTGGTACAAACGTGTAAACCTATGTATATTCGAACGAGTTCACGAACCAGCATGACCGGGCTATGGAAACAGGAGTTTTTAGGGGATTTAAGGAAAAATTTTTGATTTCCCATTTCTGACCCTCATCAAAATATAAAATTTAGCATTTTCTTTCAAAATAATTTTTTTGAGCTTAAAAAAATTATAATTTCATATATTTAAGCGTTGTTGTATGACTAACGATTACGGATAAAATAAAAAAAAAAACACGAAACGTAAAATTCCCATGTTATTCTTATGGAGAATAATTAAACTATTGCAGTTTGCTTGTTTATGGATATATTTTGATCGAGTTTGGCGTATTAGTTTCTTCCATACTAAGTTTTGAACATAAAAAAAATAAACTCTGCTTATTACATTCCCTGTATCAGCAAACCTAAGTGCTCATTAAAACTGATGTTGTTTAAATAGAAAATAAATCTAAACATTTTTAGGGAATATTTTATTAATTCAGTCAGTTGAATGAAAATCCGCCTAGCCTGCACGTTTGATGAGGCGGGGGTATATTATAAATACCCCCGCCGCAGCAAACCTGCCGACTAAGCGAATTTACATTTGTCTTAATTGATTTTCAATAAAATATATTTTAATAACATTAGGTTTAACGAGTACCTAGGTTTGCTGCTACAAGGAAACTAATAAAGTGTGTTTTTTTTTGTAAAATATTGATACCTTAGTACAAAATAAATAAATTTGATCAAAATACAAAATATATCCATAAACAAGCAAACTACAACATTTGACAATATTCTCCATAAGAATAACATGGGAATTTTAAATTTACAATTTTTTTTAATTTTCTCCGTTACTATTAACCGAAAAAAATACTTTTATATACTAAATTAATTGTTTTTTTTAAGCTCTTTATAAAAGGTCTAAAGAGAAATTGGGAAATTTTGTGTTTTGAGGGTCAAAAGTGAGAAAAACCTATTTTTACCCCATAAAACCCCCCGTAAAGCCCCGTTCCCACGGTCCGATCATGCTGGTTCGCGAACTCATTCAAGTTTATCCCGCTTTACACCTTTAAACCAAATTTCATCAAAATCGGACAAAAATTACTCAAGTTATCGCGTTCACGGACGTATATATATACATATATAAAAATTTGAACGAATGGTGTTTTTGGCCTCTGGGGACATCAAAATGAAAAAGTAAATCGGTCCCGGGTCTAGGTCTTACCGTGTCACCTACGGTAATAGCTACTTCCCTATAGGGAAATTCGCTAATAGTTTGAGATATTTCAATTGGTTGATAGATTACAATGTTTCAGCTGATGCAGATATTGGATAGTTTCAATGCGATCGTAACCGTCGCCAATAGACCAGATTAGACATGTAGTTCGAAATTGAATGATCGTAATTCTATTTATTTAAACAAATGTCCATTAGATCGATTAATTGGTAGTATAGGTGTTTGGTATACATAATGTTATGGAAACGATCTGGTCAAGTGGTTGAGCGTGGTGTTTTGGCAATTCAGGTCCCGGGTTCAAATCCCGTCAATCACCAGCGGCTTTAAGCTATGTGATAATGCCCCAACCCTCTAGCTAGGCCTAGCCTGAATGAATGTTTAAACGTGCTAGAGTCTAGCGTTTTAGAATGTTGAGGTAGGGACAAAAAATGTTTTGACGACAGTTTCGTTGCTTTCTTTTCGTTTTTATAGTAGAAAGTATCGCAGTTATGTTTATAAGTATGCCTAAAAGTAGGAAAGTTTTCACTATGATTTTTCGTTAAGATATACTTCAAGTTTAAATATTATAAAATAACCAAATATTATAAAAAGAATAGACACTTTATGGTAAAAGAGTAAACTGAAGTAACATGAATTTCGCTTGGTAACTGATGACAAGTATAGCCCCATGCCGTATCTTGTTTGCACAGTACAGTTTGTATGCGCAACACGCCATCACAACACGTTAACCTGACGATTTATTAATTTATATATCTTGATTGGATTTGTTTCACACCCTCAATCTACGTGTGGTGTTCCAACAAATTGTATTTATGTGTTTGTCTACACCAGTGGCATTATATTACGTTTTCGCATGGGACCGCACCAGCCCCTGGTCAAGTTACTACCTATCGTCGACCGCAGGGGATTGCCCCAGCCACTGGTCAAGTTACTACCTATCGTCGACCGCAGGGGACTGCCCCAGCCCCTGGTCAAGTTACTACCTACCATCGACCGCAGGGGATTGCCCCAGCCACTGGTCAAGTTACTACCTATCGTCGACCGCAGGGGACTGCCCCAGCCCCTGGTCAAGTTACTATCTACCGTCGACCGCAGGGGACTGCCCCAGCCACTTGTCTAGTTACTACCTACCGTCGACCGCAGGGGACTGCCCCAGCCCCTGGTCTAGTTACTACCTACCGTCGACCGCAGGGGACTGCCCCAGCCACTGGTCTAGTTACTACCTACCGTCGACCGCAGGGGACTGCCCCAGCCCCTGGTCAAGTTACTACCTACCGTCGACCGCAGGGGACTGCCCCAGCCACTGGTCATGTTACTACCTACCGTCAACCGCAGGGGACTGCCCCAGCCCCTGGTCAAGTTACTATCTACCGTCGACCGCAGGGGACTGCCCCAGCCACTTGTCTAGTTACTACCTACCGTCGACCGCAGGGGACTGCCCCAGCCCCTGGTCTAGTTACTACCTACCGTCGACCGCAGGGGACTGCCCCAGCCACTGGTCTAGTTACTACCTACCGTCGACCGCAGGGGACTGCCCCAGCCCCTGGTCAAGTTACTACCTACCGTCGACCGCAGGGGACTGCCCCAGCCACTGGTCAAGTTACTACCTACCGTCAACCGCAGGGGACTGCCCCAGCGACTGGTCAAGTTACTACCTACCGTCGACCGTAGGGGACTGCCCCAGCCACTGGTCTAGTTATACCTACCGTCGCCATTTTGTTAAATTAAAAATGTAAAACGAATAGGAATGTTACGGGAAATAAACCGACTAAGCTTAGAGAAGGAATTTAGATCTGATAGGAGGAACTGAGAAGGAATTGCTAGAAAAAACTTGTTGGTCAAAAAATCCATACTACCATTCTCAAATCTCAGTAATTGCTTACAGTTACCAATATTAATATTTTTCGTTCAAGGTATGTTTTCCTGTTATGGACTTCGTTTCGTTTCTTTTGTGCCGATAGAGCCAAAGCCCCTCGACTTCAGCCCGGTACCTATAATTAAACATACCCGGGCCCAATGGTGTAGGCTGGAGCATACGCACCAACCTTAGGCACACCATGGGCGGATGACTTTAGGTCATCAGGCTCACCGGCTGCCGAAGCAACCCTTCGGAAAGAGGGTCGCCCCTCAATCCTAACCAGGGATACCGGTTACTTGAAACATCGTAATTTTCGCAAACGCCCAAACTGAAGCATGTCCATGAGCGTACTACATAAAAATTAAGTAACAACTATGCGGGCCGGTTTTTATTCAACGAAAAAGCCAAGTAGATACTACGTTCCCTAACTGGCGAAGGATCTACTAGGGGTAGTATAAACTAGCATTTTACTCGCTTGCAAGTCGTAGTTTGTACTTGGAGCTAGTATCAACTAGAATGTTTATTCACCGAAAACCGAGTAAATACTTCTAAAAGAAGTACGTACCACCAAATCCTACAGTTTATTTACTTCACCGAGTGTTAATATTTGAGATGGAATCTGCAATAAATCATCAACACAATGGAAAATTTTATTGTCATAAGTGTATTATTATACGATGACCACTATTGCATAATACTATTACGATGGTATTATCATTATCTGCTATACTGTGTCATGGTATTATGCTCGCGTTACTAAGCCCAATGTACTAATTTAGTACACTTGGATCATGTGTCTCCTAAAGACAACTGAAGTGGGCTCTTCCCACTTACAATATAGTTTTTTTCTCAGACATTCAAACATTATATAACAACTATCTGTATAATAGTAATTTATTCTTCTCTACCGCAATCAATTTATATAGCAAACGTACAGGTACAGGGTGTTTTTTTAACGTAACCCAAATTAAAATTACAGAGGTTCAATGTTTAGGGACAAAACAAGATCATAGGTTGGAAGCCCTTCTTTCTTAATAAATTATTGCCGATCAGATTATGTACATTTTAGTATTGTTATACAAGGTTCAGTATGTACTGAGAAGCTACTGTGATTAAGACTCAACATAGTGTTTTCACAATTTCCAATAGTAGGCCTACGTATTGTAGAAAAATACCGTACAAGTAGGCATAAGTTTCTTTTTTTATGTTTTTTTAACCAACTGCAAGATGTATACACTGTAACGATCGATAGTGAAATACTTTTTTCCATATATCAGCATTACATATAATAAATCCTAAACTTAGGTTGCGTTTTACACAAAAACATGTTGAATCTTATTCACAATTCCAACTGCAGACATGGAACATTGCGGACATATAATTAAAGCGGGCAATTGCGGACACGGGATTAATGCCTCTTGTCAATGCTTTACAGGTCTCTAAAATATTACAATCTGAACATCGCCGACATGTATCTACGACTGGGAAAATGGTGCAAGGAACGGGTGCTGATGGTCCATTTTGTAACTGAAGTTCCTTTAACTTTTAGCGAATTTCCCTATAGGGATGTAGCTATTAAAGTAGTGGCACGGTAAGACCTGGAGCCGGGACCGATATGATTTTTCATTTTGATGTCCCTAGAGGCCAAAAACACTATTCGATATAGGTTTATATATATATAAATACGACCGTGAACGCGATAACTTGAGTAATTCTTCTCCAATTTTGATGAAATTTGATTTTAAAATGTGTGGTAGGATAAACTTGAATGAGTTCGCAAACCATCATGATCGGACCATGGGAACAGGGTTTGACGGGGGGTTTTGTAGGGTAAAAATTGGTTTTCTCATTTTTGACCCTCAAAACACAAAATTTCCCATTTATCTCTAGACCCTTTTAAAGAGTTTAAAAAAAAAATAGTATACCAAAATGTTTTTGTACGGTTATTGGAATATTGTAAACTGTTGTAGTTTGCTCGTTTATGGAAATATTTTGATCAAAATTGGCAAATTTATTTATTTTATAGTAAGCTACTAATATTTTACTAAAACCCACACTTTATTAGCCTCCCTGTAGCAGCAAACCTAGGTACTCGTTAAACCTAATGTCATTTAAAATATATTTAATTTAAAATCAATTTAGGCAAATGGAAATTTTCTTAGTCTGCAGGTTTGCTGTGGCGGGGGTATTGTTTTCTCTTATTTTGTTCTTATGTTGTTAAACAGTAGCCCACTTTAAGAGCTTTTTGGAACGTTATAAATTTCATAGTTTGTAAGTTGTAACGGGTATCCATAAAATAATCATCAGGTTTTAATTACATATATATCACTTAATTTTTGTCCTACGACACAATAACTCATATGTGGTTAAAGAGAATATGTCTAAGTTGTATAATCATAAGTCCATTGTTAACCTTTCCTTTTTGTTTACTTTCATTGGTTTTTTAAATAATTTTAATTTTAATAAAACCCCTTCAGTGTGTTAAGATATGATAACAGTGTTTCTAACTAACTGTTACTGGTGTTGCATATCTGGACGGGGCAAGGATGGTTTCCCCAAATTGAAGAGGACATTCGTGTACCAGCAGGACGGGGCTCCACCACTTTGGCACTAAAATTTACGAAGTTTTTTAATCAAGAGACTTCCTGATGGTTACATTGGCTGCTGTGCTGAGGATGGCTCTCCTAAGGTGGCCACCCCATTCCCCGGACCTTACTGTATGTGATTACGTTCTCTGGGACTATGTGAAGGACAGGGACATCCTGCCATTACCTCAAACCCTACCAGAGCTTCGAGAAAGGATTCGAGACAACGGTAAGCCAGGGTATGCATACCCAACGCCTGGGCACAGTTGCATAGACTGGAAACATGTTTTGCATGTTTTTGACTTGAAAATGGGCAGCCCAATAAGCAACTTTGGTGAAATAAAACAAAACTTTAGAGCGTTCTCTTTTAATCCATGCAATTTGTAGTAGCATTCATGTATCTGTAAGTTCAATACAGTATTTTAACACCCGATGTATATTTTATGGACACCCAGTATTTCCTAAGTTAACGTTGTAATTTAAAACCTAAGTAAAAATAAGTAAGTAAGGAAGTAAGTGAGAGTATGTGTGTTTTCTATTTTATTGATGTTTCTGTTTATTAAAGATCGAAATAATGATGTTCTGGTGGTGTGATTGTTTCTATACGATGCGTTATTGAAAAATTTCTAGTATTCATTAAGGTTTAACTATTTCTAAGGGTGGTCCATGGGAAACGGATGGATTAAAAATCAACTATTGCTCTTAAAGTTGTAAACATAGAAAAGTTTTATTGACATGGGAATAAAGGAAAAGTTATGCCATTACCAAAATAAAATACCTTATGTTAAGTTTGAAAATTACCTCACTCCCATTGCGGCCACTGAAACGGACACACATTTTCAAGCATTGCTCGAAAACGTTACTCTTTGTTCAGTAACTATTAATTGATTAGTTAAATTTGGCTCCTAATTGCGGCCTTTAATTCTCCCAGAGTACGTGGTTTTTCAACACCTGTCTTCATATGACTCCACAGGGATAAGCCATCCATTGACAAGTCCGGTGAAGACCTCCCAACATCACCAAACCATGAGATCACACGCCCAGGAAATAACATTCAAAATGCAGCCATAGGCATTGGCCGTGTACGCAGTTGTCCCATCTTGTTGAAACTATATGTTCTTGATGCAGACTTTCTACCCTTTAAGTTAAGGAATGAAAAAGTCCGTTATCATGTTCATGTATCTTGCAGAATAATTAACAGTGACAGGAGTTCCTTTTCTTCAAAGGATGATGGCCCATAAATCCCTCATTTCCCTACAGCACACTAAACTGTGTTCCAGGTGTTTTTTTTCATAACTGACCCTTTATTTCTAAATAAGAAGCCCACCTTAAAAAATTGTATTCTGACTCGGAAGTTCACCATAACGACCAATACGAAAGTAATGTCTAAGATATCGTTTAGTTTCCACTGCAGCATGATGGTGACTAAATGGCATTGTATGGGGAGCTGAATGACCTTAAACCTGAGTTTCTCACTCCAACAGTCGCCGAGAAACGCGCGATTCAGAAGTGTCTGTTTCCGTGGACCGCTCTGTATTATAACATCGTAAATAAAGTCGTATTCAGCCACACAATTAGGAATACTATAGTATAATACTACTCTACTGTACTATTCGAATGACGTGAGCCCTTTATAAGATTTTTGGAGTTTAAACGAAACTAAATTATTCAATCGGTGGTTTTGAACCAACCAGCTAACTGTCAAAACAACGCTTTCCTAGAGTTTGCTACGTGACCTTTAAGTCATTTATTAGATGCATAAAACTCGTAGTTTTACAGAACAAGTCCAACCATATCAAGTTACTCTTGAAAATTTCTTCATTATACTTATAAAAAATGTGATTGCTTTTATAGATAAGCTTCTTAAAACAGTATACAGGGTGTTTCGAAACTCCTTCAGCATTTTCCTTAGGTCAAACAAAAAATATCATATAAACATATGCCCTATCTCGCTTCGTTTTCCACCTATCAGTGTGTATGTATTTTGTACACAACTTCACGGGGTTGTGAGTTCGAACCTCACCTGGGGCATAAAATTTTGAAAATCAATTTTCATCTGAATAGCCTCAAATTGACTTTGGTTCATGTTATAGGCGAATGCATACGCGTAGGGTGCCCTTAATAGTATTTATTGGCTGGATGCCAACAATAGATATTTTAAATTTTGTAACATGGTACAATTTTTGTTTCCCTTTTTCTGATTCCAATACTGAATGAGTTCTTTAGAT